TTCATTCATCAGGAGAAATACACCACTGAACTGTTAAAGAAATATTCTATGGACAACTGTTCTTCGACTAAGGTCCCCATGGCCTTCGGATATAAGATCTCTGCTGATCCCTCAGACGAATCTGTGGATCACAAGACTTATAGAGGTGTCATAGGCTCTTTAATGTACCTCACCGCAAGCAGGCCAGACATTGTCTTTGCAACAGGTGTGTGCACAAGGTATCAAGCTAACCCAAAAGTGTCACATATGACCGCAGCCAAACAAATTCTACGGTACCTGAAAGGAAGCAAGTCTCTTGGATTATGGTACCCCGCAGGCAATGATTTCAGCCTTCAAGCATTCACAGATGCGGATCACGCCGGATGCAGACTAGATCGAAAAACCACCTCAGGTGGATGTCAATTTATGGGTGGAAGACTCGTCAGCTAGTCATCAAGGAAACAAAGTTGTGTATCTCTGTCTACCGCAGAAGCAGAATATGTGGCCGCAGCCAGCTGTTGTTCACAAGTTTTATGGATGAAGACACAACTTACGGACTACGGATACAGAATGCTGCGGATACCAATTTACTGTGATTTAGAAAGTGCTATAGCGATTTCTCACAATCCTATTCAGCACTCCAATACCAAGCATGTTGAACTACGATATCACTTCGTCAAAGACCACATCCTAAAAGCACGTCCCATCCGTTACAACTTTTTTTTGCACAACGGATCAAACAAACCCTCACCACATGATCACCAGACGTGATGATGTACGTCTGACTTTTCATTAAATGCAAACCCCTTTTTAGCAAAATCTCAAAATTTTAAACCGTTTCATAATATGTGGCTGAGATTTCACCTCCCAAATCGAAAGAACCCCCATTTTTTTACCTTATCCTTTTCACCTAGGGTAAATAAAAAAAAACGTTTCCCGCTCCCATAAGCCCCTATAAAACCCTTTCTTCTTCCCCAAGAACAGTTTACGCTCTCTGAACTTTGAACCCTTTCTCCATTATCACACTCTGTTTCTTCACTTTTTCTCAAACTGCTACAATGGTGAAATCCGGTGTATCCAAGAAACACTCCAAAGCTTCTGGATCAGTGAACCCTACTGGTTCAGACTCTGCTTCAAGACATCCCACTCCCACGATAGCATCAAGCAATTTCAGAGCGGTGTTCGAAGACCATTCATCTTACAATGCTCCAATCAAGCTGATGATCAAGTTCTTGAACAATCACCCCCAGTTTGGCCCCTTCGATTCGTTCACAGACGTTGTTCCCCTTTCTACCCTATTCAAATGTGCCTTTTCAGCCTATCGACCACTCGGGAACCCACAAGAAGTGCATCTAAACCTAGTTAACGATTCTTTAGTAATTTTGTCTAAAGAAAAGTTTCTTTCTGCCATTAACCTTCTTGTTCATCCTTCAATCAAGATTTTTACTCCATCAATGGCGGACATCACTTCTGCACTTTACCAAATGGGATATCAGAAGAAAATCAAAGGGATTGGAGAATTCAAGAAAAACCAACTGCCTGCGGTCTAGCAATTCGTTTGCCATTTTGTCATCTGCAGTCTATCCGGCAGAACCGGAGGCACGGATAATATGGGACTCAAGCTCCTAGAGTTAGTATGGAGCATCTTCACTGGCCATGATGTAAACTACGGTCAGATTCTATGGGATGATTTTCTACAACACATTCCCAAGGTGAGCCCAAGGGAGAACCCTACCGAGCTTATGTTTGCAAGATTCTGGTCCCTCTGCATTTCAGATCTCCATGCGGACGCAGGAATCAGCATGGGCAACGACATCAACTTCTTTGTCACCAAGGATCTTAAAATGTATAATCCCTCATCTGATCAATCTATTTTTGGACCAATTAGAAGACTTCCAACCCACATTCTCAACACTCTTGGTCTTGAGACTGCTGATGTCTCAGATCATATTGAGGCTACGGACGGTATTGCCCCATACCTTCCTACCCCGCCTCTTCAAACCCCATCTGCAATCATTACCCCTTGAAGTACCGCAATCCCATCTTCCACTACTCTCTCCAATCTTTCTCAAAGAAGAAAGAAATTAGCCTCAACTCATTAAGGCCCCCGCAACATCTCAAAGAAACAAAGAACCCCAAAGAAAGATGCTCCCAAACCAACCGCACCCTCCAAGAAACGCAAAACCAAACCAACCGCAACCACAAATGACAGTGACTCTGATGAGGATGCGTAACCAATTGTCATCCTTAATAAAAGAATAAACAATCCCACTGGCCAAATGCGTGACCGGACTGATAACCTAGCCTCTCAAAAGGCTCCGGTAGTCCTTGGGGTGGCCGCAGACTCATTCACCTCCACAATCGAAAAACTTATTTTAAAATGTGGTGACTTTTTTTTTAACCTTTAAAAAATATGAGTATTTCAATATTCATATATATAATATAATTTTTTTATAACTTATAAAAATAATTAAATAAGCCTTATGAACGTCTTTTATTTTATTACTAGGGGCAAGACGTGTGTATTACATGATTTCATTTAATAAATAAATAAATAAATATGAAATTCTGAACATTTGTGAAGTTTAAATTTATAAGAAAAATTAGTTTATGATCCATAGGAACCACATTTACAAATTAATTAAATTAAAAACTCAAAATTATTAATCAGTATTTTTAAATAAATTACTAATTAAGGTATATCTTTTTTTAGTTATAGATAATTATAATCATTGAATTAATTAAATATGTGACTATATAATTTGTATTAATTTTATTTTAATTTTTATTCTAATGTTACTAATTTAAAGTAATTAGAGTGAGAAATTTAAAATTTAAAATTTGAAATGGAGAATTAATATGTTGACATGTGCATGACATTAATTATAAAGTCTAATAGGATGACACATGACAAAATGAGAATAAACATATTTTTTACTAGTTTATAACCCGTAGGAATCAAAATTACAAAAATAAGTAAACTTTCATACTAAAAACTCAAAATTATTAATCAGTTGTTTTAAATAAATTATTAATTAAGAGATATTTTTTAGTTATATAAGATTATAATCGTTGATATAAATAAATAAGTGAAATTATATCACCTTATAATATATATTATTTATTTTAATTTTTAATTTTGATGTTATTAATTTAATGTAATTAGATTTGGAAATTTAAAATTTGAAATTTGAAATTGAAAATTAATATGTTGACAAGGGACGCGACATTAATTAGAAGGCCTAATAAGATGACACGTGAGAAAAGAAAAATAAACATATTCTTTTGCTGGTTTATAATCCGTAGTAAAGATGATTACAAAATTAATTAAACTTTCATAGTAAAAACTCAAATTTATTGATCAATTATTTGAAATAAATTATTAATTAAGAGATATTTTTTTAGTTATATAAAATTATAAAAGTTGATTTAAATAAATAAATGGAATTATATCACCTTATGATTTGTATTAATTATAATTTATTTTTACTTTTAATGTTATTAATTTAATTTAATTAGAATGAAAAATATATTTTGAAATTTGAAAGTGAAAATCAATAGTTGAGAAGTGACATGACATTACGACACCTAATAGAAGAACACATGACAAAAGAGGAATAAACATATTTTTGTATTAAAATATGAAGATTGGAATAGAGATTAAAAAAAATTATTGAATTATTTTTTCTCTTTTAAATTTAAATAAAAAATTTAGATAAATAAACATAGAAAAATAATGAAGCTTTAATTTTTAAGTTTTAAAATAAGAATAAAAATGGATAAATGAAATTAATAGGTATGGATTTATTACATTTAAAGATTATATAGAATTTAATAAAATAGAAAAAAACATAAAATAAGATATAAAAAAACTAATTTACAATAACTATAAAATGGCATCTGATAAAATAAATATCAATAGCACACGTGACAAAAAAAAGTTATTTATTAGAACAAAATTAAATAAAAATCATCTACTCTATATCGTAGTCGAGGAAATAGTAAACTACTAAAACATTGGTATTTTGGAAAAAGAAACGGGTTCTTTGAATTGTTACAAAATACGGTGGAATGTGATAATGATGTTGGTCCTATTTTTGCTTCACATAGATAACGACTCTTTCAGTCGTCTAATTTCGTGGTGATTACTGTACATGAGTAGACCTAGTCTGATCGACCCAACAGTACCGATCTATAAAGCCCAACCCTAAACTCCACTAGTGATGCACAACCGCAATTAACACAGATCCAGATGACCGGCAGCAGTTCATCTCTTCCCCGGAAGCCGGCCGCTTCTGAAAGACAACGCCGTGATCGGATGAAACACCTTTACTCTACTCTTGCCTCTTTCCTTCATCTTCAACCATACGTACATCTCTCTCTCTCTCTCTCTCTCTCTCTCTCTCTCTCTCTCTCTCTCTCTAACATCATACCTGATACAGGAGAGGATGCCATTGCCAGAGTTCTTGGACCGTGCAGCAAATGCACTGATACAGCGGAAAGAAAGAGTGGAACGATTGAACGCTAGGAAAGAAGAGCTTGAAAACGAGCTTAGATGTGCTTCAAATAACGGACAGAGTTTGCAGCTTGTCCGAGTGACTGAAATTGATTCGAAACTTGAGGTTAACTTGATCATCTCGGCCAATAACAAGAAAGCGGAGCCTTTTCACGTATTGAGTGTTATAGAGCAAGGTGGTGCCGAAATTACGAACTCTAGTTTCTGCACAGTTGGTCAACTCATCTATTGCACCATCCATGCTCAGGTAACAGTGGTTCTATGAATTTCGAAAACCCTTTGTGTTCATTATACTACCAAAAAAGCTTTCAGTTCGGTCATTCCCTCCGTGCAACTGTTTAGAATGATTGTTTACACATATACAAGTAAATATTTATAGTTTTTTTTTTAAAAAAAAGAACAAAACGGCAGTTCTTTTATTAAAATAAGTAACAACTGTTATTGTACTGTATTACATAAAGCTGGAATACGTCATAAACAAAATCTATTGGAATTGGAACATGCATACATGGTTAAAAATCTTCCATCGAACACTTCATGTGAATTTATCCCCACTGATTAGGCTACTCCAAAAGGAACACATTAAGTGTTCGATGGAAGATTTTTAACACTAAAACTAAGCCCATGTATACAAATGCGTACATAATTAGCATAAGCAATAATTGTATCCAGCTTCATAGCTAATGACTGCATTTTGTATAATGTATGTATGCAGGCTTTTCAAGCTCGGGTAGGGTTCGATGTTGCATTGATAGAGTCCCAGTTGTTGGAACTGGTTTACTTATCATAAGGAATTGGGATACGATTGTCTGCTGAATTATTGGATGTCACACAGTTATAGTAAGATTGCAGGATGATTAAAATATACGCATCAAAGCGGAAAAGATACAAGGTTGTAAATTAAAAGATTTTGTACGTAAGATATGTATTTTAGATTGTATTTGCACAAATATCGTGCATTGGCTAATGAATAAAAGTTGTGTGTAACACTACTAGAAAATTCTTATTTACCTACAAAAATCACCTACGGAATAAAATCTGCTGGTAATTACATACGAAATTCCTACGAAATAACCATTAAAATATTTGCCCTAAATCACCTACAAACTACCTATATATTAACAACAAAAATAATTTCTGTAGGTAATCCGTTGATAATCACCTACAGATTACCTACGAATAATAATATTATATTCTAAGTTAGAATTCTGTAGTTATTCTGTAGGAATTTACCTATAGATTATCTACAAATTTTTTTTTGTATTTTTCATTTTCGAAGGATCAGATGTCTTTTTTTTTTGTTTCAATTTTTTCACAACATTATTATATATTGATTACTTTGTTTTCTCCAAGTTATACATCATATTAATATGCATACATCCATGTACACAGTCGAAACTCGTTACTCATTTCAAGTTTAATCATTTTTGTGTATGTGTATGTATAAAATGGTGTACATGGATGTATGTATGTTTATATGATGTATAACTTTGTGAAAAAACAAAATAATCAACATATAATAATGTTGTGAAAAGAATGAAGCGAAAAGAATGACATTCAACCTTTCGAAAATGAAAAATACAAAATAATTTGTAGGTAATCCGTAGGTAATTGCCTACGGATTACCTACGGATTATGTATTCTGTAGGTAATCTGTAGTTAAATACCTACAAGTCTCGACTTGGTTTGATAACAACAACGGTGTAATCGTTAACAAAAATAAGATGGTTGATGTCAAATATAAGTCTCGACTTCAAACGAACGACCCTTTTTGCTTGGCATCACAAGCGGAACAAGTATTTTATACACCATACCCTACAATGACTAGGGAAACAAAAGAAGTGTGGGCGGTTGTCAAAACAAAACCAAGAGGGGTATTTGAAGTCACCCAAGATGAAATTGATGCAGACGGGTTCTTTCAGATTGATGAGCGGTTTGAATTACCGAATGAAGTAACTCGTACTGACCGTCTATGCCTAGCATTAAATACAAATACCTATGATGAAGTATCTGATGAGGACAACGTGGGATCTCAACACGATCAACATGAGGAACAACTTGAAGACGAAGATGATATAGAGGATAATGGAAATGAACTTGTTTATTCTGACGACGGTTCTGATTATGATGAGGAGTGATGTTAGGAACATTGCTTATTGTTGTGCACTTCAAATTATTACAATTAATTAAATGACATGTTCACTTTAAGTTATTTGTGATTATAAACTTTATTTGTGATTTATGATACGAATATTATTAACATTGTTTTTTGTTGTACATGTCAATCTGATATTATATATCTGACCTTTTTTTTGTGATTTGTTAAACGCAGCATGTCGGAACGAGGTCGAGCATCTTTCTCTAATCTGGCTGGAAATACATGTGGTAATTTGCATAGAGTTGTGTCGTCACCCGACTCTAATCTAGGTGGTAGTATGGGTGGTAACTTACAACGAGGTCGGACATCTTTACGTAATCTAGGCATCGCTGATCCCCAGACAGATTTTGCGGAGGTGTTTAGTCAAGTTACCCCACACGACCTTCAGATGATTGGCGGCCGTGGCGAGGAGCGAGATGATAATTATTACACTCAGGAGGATGATTGTGGTATAAACATGCAGACACCTCGCCACTCGAATGTTGAAGATACGCCGGGTGGCTCTAATGTTGCAGATTCGCATGGTTCTCAGTTACCGTTGATCCACCGAGATGGGAAGGGGTTAGTCTTTTTGTTATTTAAATTTATGATTATTGATGTTATGATTATAATTATATAGTTATTTCGATTTTTAGGTTTGCAGACCATTCTATACATGGGTACATTGCATAAATGGCATGGGATTGTTTGGATCATGCTTGGCCTACATATAAGAGTATCCCACGGGAGGTTGTCAAACAATGGTTTGCGCGTTTTAAGGTAATATATTGATTATTTGTTTGTATATTTTATCCTTATTCTATTTTAATTTGCAAATTAAGTTTACTTCTTATTTTTTTGCAGACTCGTTATCGGTGGAATTCACAAGAAGAAGGTGACATCTTCGATTGTTTTGAGAGTGTTTTGAAAGAGCGTTTTAGAGACAAAATGGGGGATGTTAATAAAACATCAGCAAGAATGGCAAGAAAAGCAGGGCATACTATCCATGAAATTAATGACTCATATCAGATCCTCCATAATTTTGCTCCTCGTCCCATATATGAAGACGTTTGGAGGCGTTTGTGTGCTGTAAGTGATATGGTTCATTATTGTTTACTTT